CTTCTGGCATTCACACACAGCAATAAACCAAAACCCACGAGATACTGGTGAGAGGACACAAGGAAAAAATGCTGGCTATCAGCAGCTACTAAGGCAGACTAGCAGCACAAGGCACAGAGTGGTGCATTCAAGGAGCGTCAGCATAGACATGGTGAGTTCAATGACGTAGGACATATCAATTTCCACAGTGCAAACACTATCTATAAACAAACTACAACACTTCAACCAAGCAAATAACGTGTAATCAGTGGGCTTTCTAACAATCAGGATTATGTCATTCCCGCCTTTGAGCGATGTGTATAAGCAACATAAGCAAAAAGACCATGTGCTGCACCATGTGACAGAGGAAGCACTGGGAAACACTGTATGTATGAAGTGCTGCTCATGTGCCTCCTCTCCACAGTTGGGACTGACATTTACTTTATGCATCTTCTTTCCCATGGGAATGATAAATTATGTAGGCTACCGGAAAGACAGTGCACTGATAATGCTCATCCACATTTACTATGCCACATGTTTGAGCTGCTTGAAAAAATGTTATCTTTTGTTACCTTGAAAATGTTAGCTGGGCACACCCTAGCTGTCAAACACCTTGGAGCGCCCACTCTCTCACCTGTTAAAACAGATTTGATCATCTCACCGGCATGCCCTCACATATGAATGCCAGCAGACCTGCAGATAAAACATGCAGTGTGCAGTGGTGGGACTAGTGTTTACCTTACAGACACACATATTGAGTATTGATTGTACTGCTGAGGCTGCAGTGTCCACTGGGTCAGTGAGTGATTGAATGAGTGGGTGGAGGTCAACACAAGCATTTGGCCTCCCCAAAAAACAAATTTCAGTCATACTTTAGCAAATATTAGTAGGTAAGATTAACTGCCTTTACAAAAACCAAAAGCCAAAGTCTAAGAAATCTGTTTAATAAAGGTTAGAATCACCAGATTCCCCATAATACGATATTATCGTAATATTTCACTTACCATACAAAACTATTGCGATTTTTAACATTATGTGATATGCTGAGGATTGCAATGACATATGTTGTGATTTATCACTTTTTTCCAGCTGCAAATTAAATCTCGAAGTTACAATTTTTCAATGATAACCTCATCTTACTTAATTTACTTTATTTATGCTGCTCAATGAGGTTGTCAAGCAGAACAACACTGACACTAAAACCTGCCAAAATGTTGCAATAAGATGGAATCAGTCTGTTGATTCAACTAGGTCATGTTGGCAGTTACAGGAAATAAAATGAAACTGTGATAAATCATCCCAAAAAAAAAACAAAAAAACATTTCTTATGTGCCTCTGTCTACATAGGAATTCCCATTTGAATGAAATTTACATTTAATCATTACATCATTTTTCAAGAACCTTCCTGTTTCATACGAATACAACCAGCTGGCAGCCAACTGAGTTGAGTTATGCTCACTTGCTCTGGATTTATAAATGAAACAGTAGTTATTTACAAACCTTTGACAATTTCTCTGAGAGTTATTGCAGACATTTCAAGTCAGTCTGCAACTGTTTGCAGAAAGGTTGCCTCCTATCTGGCGGACCGCGCAATCACCTTGCAATCAAAAGTGGTGATGAGTGTACAGCACCAATGGTTCAGGGCAAACAATATACACCTACAAAGATGTTGCTGTCCTAGTTTTACTTGTGTGACTAATTCAGAGCATTAGCTTGCTTTGAATTAGGAGGTCGTGTGTCCAGTGTTGGATGGTTTTTCACTTGATTTGATTTAATGTAAGTGCTTGGCTAACATTATCTCAGGATCGTGGCACATGAGATGTGCCCACAGTTTTCCTAGATTATTTTAACTTATTTAATAAAATATCAATATTTGGTGTCCCTGGATCAATACATATGCCATGCAATATATCATGATACTATATACTGATTCCCCACCCCTACAATTTAACACGATTGACCACTCTCTTTCACACATAGAAACCTGGTATGGCTTGCTAACTTGCATACTAGCTGCAAAAGTAAACTCTCCTGTTGTTCTGCGAGTACGTTTCTGTTAAATAAGCCATGGACTCATTCCTTTCTTCCATACTGTTCTTTATATTTTGACCACATAAAAGACTAACTGAGTCTTTTAAGAGCTAGAGGGTTAAGGTGAGAACAAGAGAAACTCCCCTCAGCTTCTCAAGTCTGGGAAAGTCAAGCAACACATAGCATGACAGTGCTACACCCAAACAATAGAATGAACAAGCGAGAAGTTAGTGGTCTTTGTGTTTAGGGGAAGAAAAAATAAAACACTGGGGAAGAGCTGCTGTAAGTGTTACCTTTCTGCAAAAGTGAGGCATGCGAGTGTGCTGCAAAGAGACAGTGACACAATTGGAGTGAGCAATACTCAGTGATCCATTCAAATGTTCGCGTTCACTGGAGCAGACAGTGTACCCACTCAGAGACAGTGCATCAGAATCCTCCTTGTGAAGGCGAACTGCTCATTCTTTCTCTGCTGGAAGCCACGAAATAACCCAGGATAACCTCGGAAAGCTCAGCAAGGACTACTCAGAAGAGCAGGAGCAAGAAGGAGAAAAATTAGGCTGAGCCAGCCTAAGCCCAATCTGACTTTTACTTTCCATCGCCAGTGGTCAAATGTTTCAATCAAACCTACAAGAGCGATTAAATATTCATAATATTGAAAAAGCAAAAAGTGCAACAAACATGAGCCATTTGAGTAGAAAAAAACAAAAAAAAAAGCAATAAATTTGGTCAGTACTATATGCTGGTATAGTACCTTCAAAGTCTTCATGTTTTTTGGTTTATCAAAGTGATCCATTGATTCCACTAATCCTTCTGAGTAGACCTGCAACGGATCACTACTTCTCAGATGGGCTCAGATTTTCTCAGCTGGCAGTGATATTTCATGACAACAAAGCCTGCTGGTCAGCCAGCTGTTGACAAATCCCTGGTATGACGTATGTCTCGGTTCTGGTTGATTCTATGCCAAGTTAACACACACACACTGATGGCGGGAGTATCCGCTGAATGTGTTAAGCAGGACTGTTGAACTGATCCTGCAGAATTATGCATCTCATTTGAATATGTTGATTTTTATAGCCACAGAAACCTTGTGACACAATGATGATGAATAACAATGATCACAGTATCTACACAAAAATCTGAATTTTCATTTTAATGGAAACTTTGATCATAAAAATAGTCGATGGCTTCTAAAAACAAAAGCCAGTCCTAATCTGCTCTTTTATGTCTTGAGATTAAAAATTCACTATGGTAGATTAGTTAAAATAAATAAATAAATAAGGGCGACTCCCACAATTTCACTGTACTTCTTAAATCTACATGAAGAGACAGCAGATAGCTCTCCTAGTATTAAAACAGTCAATTTATCAACTAGCTGATCAGCATAAAGTAATAATAATAATCTGCTGTATTTAAGCAAGACAGCAAGAAATGTTTTTTTTAATTCTCTTCTTCCAACTTCTAAAAATTCAGGATTTAGGAAGTAATGTTTTTCCAAATAACCAGTATTAACAGATCACACTGAGCTCTTGGAAATGATTCGGATCATTTTCTGCTATAGTTTAATGTTTTTACTGCATAAAGCAAGAGGAAACATTAACAAAAGATCAGGTCAACTGATAAGCCAAAGTGCTCTTTCAGGCTCTTGTCTCTATGCTGCTCAAGCAGCCGTGTCTTAAGAAAAGAGTGCTACAGCAAGAAAGCCTCGACTTGAGATGACATTCGCTTGCACTGCTAAACTGGCTTCCTAGCAGGAGTGCTAAACTGGAAATATTAGATTTCCATCCTAGTGCTCTTACTAAATGTAATCGATCAATGAGGAAAGAGAAACTTCTTTATAGAGAAATGGCATGAAGATAAGACTGAACTGGGGGCGTGGGGCTGTCACGCACTGTAGGTGTAGGTTTAGGATTTTTAGGACAGGACACAACCTTACTGACTTTTTGTGGGACTGCATGAGTAGGAGGGACTGTGACTCTGCACTCTCAGGAAGCAGATAATAATGAGACATCCCCAGATTACTTGAGCTGTGTACATCAAATGTAATATAGTGATGAAGTAATTATTTTTAAGCATGTAAATCTCAATGACTCATTTGTTTCCTCTCCAGTGTGTAGGCTTTAGAAACAGGTTGAATAATTCACCATGCATTTTATCATGTTCTGCCATTTTAATTCAGCTGTGTTCCTTGCTGACCAAACGCCAAGCCAGAAATTGGCTTTTTATGACTCCAGCAGCTGCACTAAGCGCTGTTTATAACACAGTACGTCCATTAAGAATACATTGCAGTTTGTATTGCACTTTCCTGCAGCCTTGGAAGAGCCAAATGTATGCCTAAACAGAAGATGTGATATCAATAATACAGCAGATGATCTCAGGTCCAGTTGCAATTTTGGTCTCAAGTTATCATGTAAGAGGATCACGGGAGTGTAACATAAGCTACATTTGAGGTAATTCGCCAGCTTTAAACAGATTAACTGAGAAAAACTATTGAAATGAGATTTTTCACACAGGGAACGAGATGAACCTGGAGACAGTTATTCAGATCCTATCTGTGAGTGCACTGCTTATCTCATACAATATCAAAGGCCTGTGACCTTGTGTTATGCAGCTTAACTGGCCTCGTTATAACCTGCTTTATGGTATATTGCCCTTTTCTACACCATTTGAAAAATAAAGCATTCTTATCTGGTTACAGGGGAGAGATAACAACGACCTTCAGCTTGGTGGAGGTATTTTTAAGTCTTGGAAATACAGGAAACCTTGATGTTTATAATAATATTTGGCATGGTATAGAGCCATCAGCTGTACTTGAGCCTGTTTATCATCTGAAACATATGTGAAGTAGATCATAATAAGTAGAAGAATAAAGAGAAGGGCTTGTGTTTTCTGTTTACGCCTGTGTGAGTGCTCTCAGTGGTCCAGGAAGACCGCGCTCACTTCCAAAGGATGCTGCGTGGAAGAAAAGATGGACGCATACAGGTTATACTCACTCTGCGTAGCCGGTGGACCACGGCAGCCGCTTGGTCTCCTTCAGGATGAGGATCGGTCTTGCGATGTGATCCGCCGAACACTCGATCTCGTCTGGCGACAGTCCCAGGAAGTCCGGTCGGGTGTACGGGAATTTCAGCGGCAGATCCGAGCCGCTGGGATGGTCTCCGTTGGAGCCACCGGCCATCATACCTCCCATGAAATTGGCTACCGCCGACTTCACCCGCGTGAGCATGGTCCTGCTGCGGCGTGGGTCCAGGCAATGCGATTGCGTGAATGCCACCCCACCCCACACGCACCCCCTTCTTCCAGTCTCCCTGGCAGATCCCCGCACGGCGACGCAGATTCGCGGCGTGGAAGAAAGCAAAACACTCAGGATCCGCGGAAAGTCATTCGGCACAGCGATTCCTCTGCGAACACGGAAATAAAAGCTGAACAGGCTCTCTCTCACACACACAGAGCCAGACTGAGCTGCACAGCAGTCATGTGACAAACCGGTTGCTGCTGGTGGATTTGGTCGCTGGTAGCCTATCTCAGTGAGCCGCTTACTGTTGACAGTGCTGGAGGTCAAAGGTGCGTAATCCCGATGTGACGCTTACCTCCCGAACAAGGTGCAACACAAGGCTTTGAGAAAAAGGCGGTGACCCAAATCCATATATATACATATACATATAAATGGAGCCACACTGACTGAACAACACACAGTACAATAAACCAGCCGTGAGGGTTTCAGTGTCTCTTTTATAGACCCTAGTCTTTGTTTTTTCTTGACAAGGTGTGGTTTGCAGACTTTTTGAGTCCCACAGATGCCACAGCTGTGTTGAAAAAATTAAAACCAGCTGTTTTGTTTCCATCTTTCTACAATTTTCTTTATCAAAAGATTGGAAATACAGTCATTGGGGAAAATGTGGTTATCAAAGCTCAAAGCCTACAACAGATCAAAGTTGTAGGCTATAACACAGGCACACAAATCAAGGCAGTTTTGTACTTTGAAGCTAATGTCCACAAGAAAGGGGTCCACAAATATTTTAACATGTTCAAAATAAAGATTCAATCAATCAATCAATCAATCAATCAATCAAATATGCAGTAAAAACCAGAACTGTTGTTTCAAATATGGCACTTACTGGGAGCCTTTCAGTGTCTAGTGGCATATTGCGTTACCACTTACTGATTACATTTTTTCTTTCTCTTCTAAGAGTCACTACAAATCTTACTGACTGGGCATTAAGCCAACCCAGCAGGATGTCTGTCTAGAATTTATGGACTTACTCTGTCAACAAAGCTCCATTTTGGAGAAGTGAACCCTACTAAATGATATGTCATAAGTGAACCGCAGTCTGTAGAGCGACCAAACCACAGAATCGTACTCAGCTGTTTCTTCAGTGCTGAAAGGTGAGGGTGTTGCAACAAAATGACTTCAAATGATCTGCTCATGATCCATATTCAATCCCAAAAGTTCACTGAGGAAACAAAAAGCCGTGTGGACGCAGTCAGTTCTTTCAGCTTTGGTTTACTGAGCACAGACATGCCTTCAAATAGAAGTGTGAGCATTTCATGTCGGAGTCTCAAAATCCCAAGCCAAACTGACACATGGCACTATTTCTAGCCTTTACCTTCACTTTAAATGCAAATGGCAAAATCTGCTCACTTCATCACCTATTATCCAAGTCATGCTCTTTATAATAAAATTGCACTTATTTGACAAACACTAATGTGGTTTGGGTTTCTTGTCAAGACACCAGAGGAACTTATTTTGTTACATAAGTGCAAACGTTTGCTTCAACCTACCAGCATCCAAACTCAAACACCCGTGTCATCCAGTGCTGTAGGAAAGAAATTTGATTAAATTTACAGTTAACCTGCATATGTTTTTTTTTTTTTTAAACAGAATGGTCCTCTTTCAGCACAAAACTAAAACTAGGTGTGGACGCAGGGCCGCTTTCTAAAACAGGTTCCAGTTCCCCAATCTCTTCACTGGTTTCACTGTGGCAACTGTATAGTTGCTTTCTGTTTTATTTTGAAAACCACTATGAAAGATATTTTTTTAACACTGTACTTGTGATGTACAGTTTCTGTGTGGAGTTTGCATGTTCTTCTGGTCGGCGGGACTTTCTCTCATAGTATAAAGACATGTGGTTTAGTAAGGGTTGGTTTAATTGGTAGTTCTGCAAATACAGCAGGATCGGTATTGCTGAAACCAACACCGATATTTTTAACCCATGAAGGCAGCTCATATAGGACAGAGCAACGTGTCATGATTTATGCAATTTATGAGCTTTATGAGATGAATCATCATCAGTTTGCAAATTCTCAATTCAGATTGTTGTGATTTTTACTTTCCACAATAATTGGTTACCTTACCTTTCAGCTTTATTTTGAAACTGCTTCTTTTTTGTTGTTGTTTGGAGACCTGGAATGCAAGTGTGCCTGTCTCTGCTGCACTTTGGGTCAAAAATGTGCTACAGACTAGAAATAAAATAGACACAAAAAGCTTCAGACATTTTTTATAGTGCATGTTAAAAAAAGGAAAATAAATGAACTTCAGTGGGCTACAAACTGAACTTAGATGACAGAAACAAAGTACTGATGCATATGTGCCAGTATCAATCCAATACCAATACCAGCACTGGTATCAATATTACTGATATTTGAATCTACCCACCTATTATTTGGCCATAGGTGTAAATGTGAGTTGCATGTTTGGCTGTCTATCTGTGTCAGGCCTGACATGTGACCTGTCTGCCTCTTGCCCTTGGTCAGCTGTGATAATCTTAAGGCACACCATGACCCTAAATTGGATAAGCAGAAGAAAATGGATGGATGATGGGTTTGTGCAAAATTGCTTTATAAGCAATAAACATTGAATATGGAGTGCATGATTTTATTTATTTATTTATTTATTTTTTTGATGGGAGTGATTTTTTTTCTTGAGAATCCTGTAAAATACAGCATGAACTCTTATGGTTTATATTGAGGAACACTCAGACACATTATCTTTTAAATCTTGCGGGCCAATTAAAATCGTGAGCACGCTTATTATACAGAATGTCTCCAGTGAAAATGAGTAAAGTCTGATGAAAGTGAAGTTGGGAATTTGGCAGACTATAGTAAATCAATAATTCATGAGCTTGCCAGAAAGAGTTCTACTGACCTAATTACACAGGAAAAGCAAACAGTCTGTGAGGAGGATGCAGAAGATGATATACCTGCGACTGGATTTTCAATCAGGGATAGCTGGTAAAAAAAATTAACCAGAACAATGAGTGTGGTTCTTGTCTTTTCTGTGCTAATTATACCCCATAAACTGACAACATGCACAAAGATAAGCTCATTTCCCAGGAGACCTCACATACATTCTTTTGAAGTGATAAACTATTCAAAGCTTCCAAATGACAACAATTATTTAATGGAAACCATGTGTTCAGCATGTGCGCTTTTTAGCAACAGCTGAGGCAGACATTCGTTCATTTGATCTGTTGGTGCACAAGATGAAAAGTGAAGCATCACCAAAGTCATTAAGACTTCATCTGTGAAACATCTATGCAGTCTTAAGGCAGTTTATCTCATTGTTATTTTAACTCAATGCACTGTAGTATCAAAACAGGGCCCCACCTTGCTTGCCTTTCGTGAAATAAACTAATTATGTGTTTCACTAACACATTTATAGTCAAATTGTGAAGTCTTGTTACCGTTTCATCTTCACAGAATGTGCCATTGTGGTTCATGAAGGAGTGTACAGCCTTTATCGTTTTCTAGGAAGATGGGAAATAATTGCAGTGATTTATTACAGTATGTAAGGGAAAACAGTTTGTACACTTCTAAGAAGTTTGAAAGTCAATATTTGGTATGATTGTCCTTTATACTTCAACATGGTTTTGGCTCTCTTTTGTTTCTGTTCTCTCGATTAACCCACACGGCTTCAGTTATGTTGACATCTGAGCTCTGGGGAGGCCAATCCATGACTGATAATTTTCCTTGTGTGCTTTTCTATTTATATTTCTATATCAGCAGTGTGTTTGAAATTGTTGTTGTGCTAAAAAAATAAATCTGTGGCCAATCAGGTGTTTTCCAGACGGTACTGGTCAAATAAAATCAACTGAATGTGTGGAGTAATTTAAAATAAAAATAAATAAATTAAATCTTATCTGGACTCCAATGTAAGTCTTAACTTTATGTTGTGGTTTTTGAACCATGTTGAATGTTGTTATTTGGCAGATTAAGACCTCCACGGGTTGAAATGCAGCATCAAATCATGACAGAGCCTCCACCGCGTTTTACACATGGCTGTAGATACTGTTGTGTTTGAATGATATGTTAAATATGCATGATGTGCAAACTGATATGTTTGGATCCACCACTCCATAAAGTTTCCACTGATTTTCAGTCACATTAATGTGTAATTGGTCATACATTGCCCCCCCCCCCCCACTTCCTTCCTTAAGAATGGCCTCTTGACAGTCAGCTTTCCACTGCGCCTATTTCTTATCAGGCTTCAGTGAACAATAGATGAATCAACTAAAGGATCAGATGAATCTCTCAGGTTTTTTTTGCTGGATTTTCTCTGTCTTAAGTACGATTTTTCAGATGTTTGCCTGCAACAGATTTTACGCCTGTCATGATTTCTTTTGTCCTCCACTTGTCCAGTTTCTTCAAAATTTTAACCACACACTGCACGTCATGTCAAGACATGCCGAGTTTACAGTGAATTGCTCTTTGGGAATCACCTTGTTGACTATTTTATGCCTGTCAAACTATGATCTTTGGCATTTTCATATATTCAACTAAAGAAATCGGCACAAAGTCAGTTTTGTGACAGGCTGCTACAAAGTGCCTAAAGATACAAATTGAAAATTGGTTCTTTGCCAAGTTGTGTGTAGACATGTACCTTGTTTATGCATGTCTTGAACTATTGCTCAAGACCTCCTTAAACAAAAGAAGTCTGGCTTGGAAGAAAAAAAGGAAGGCTGGTTCAAGATCTTTGCACAGCACTCATTTTCCAGTTAAATGGGTTGATTTGTCTGCAGAGAGACATCTTTAAGGCCTTATCTTGTAACATCAGTAGCTGACCTTACTAATAATCTTGTGGCCTTATGGGAGCAAAAATTCCTACTGCCAAAAGCAATAATGGAAAGCACATCCAGAAGAGGGAAGGCTGCATAGTCCACAGATTTGAGATGAAATGTGCATGATATTGGTGCAAACCTCAACTGATCCCCAGAATAAAGCGTCATCAGAAAAAGTTCTTTTTGAATCCTGAAGCCAGAAGAGATGCAAGCAATAAAATCAAGTGTGTATCTCTCCCCTTGCTACATTACATAATTTGCAATATTTATCCAGTGACTATTTGAAAACTACAGTTTTCAAATAATCTGTTAAGCGTTTCTCTTTGCTCGGTCTTCAGCTCCTTGTTATTCCTCCCAGGATAATGATGGTGATGGCAGGGTCAGGATAGCTTGAAGAATCTGTTTGCATTTCTGTAATCAGTCTGCTACTCGA